TACTGTTACGCGAATGCTTCACGCTGTACGTGGTATGGGGAGGGATGGGTTTTTATTAGGCGGCGAGGTTCGTGGGGGGAATTTAATGATGAATGGAATTTTCGAGTTTTGAAGGGTGGGCGGGGAAGGGGGATCATTTCTGGATTTGACGAGGTTTTTCGGTGATTTATTGCGCGTTGTGGGGGATTTTTTGGGAGTGGAGGCATCATGTCTAGAAGATTTTTCAATTTTTGGGGGATCGTTATTTACTTTTTTTATTTTTTATTTTTTATCGTTATTCGGGAATTTCCATTGTTGGAAATCCGTGACAATTGATTTTTTTGAGAATTGATTCGTGATTTTTGGGAATTGTGTGTTTATTCTATTAACAAGTGATTTGAAGGATTCTTTGTGCTGAGCATTCAATTTTCAATAAACAATTCTTTTAAAAATTTCATTCCAAATCCATTCGTCAATTATCTGACTAAATTTCTCGAATTTAATTTTCTGTGAATTATTTATTTATCTAGTAAACAAGTGATTTTATAAAAAAAAATTCTCCTGATATTTAATATTCACTACATTAATTATTTATTTATCTCATGAAGAGATGATTATGAGAGAAAATGTTCATAAAATTTTTCGAACTGAATTGAATGCTTCACGAATTTAATTCGTAACAAATATTCTTCCAAACATTTAACTCTCTCTTTGAAAAATTTCCCAAAAATTCTTTTGTCAGTTTCAAAATCCCTCGACGTTCAACGTAATAGGAAAACTACTTGTTCACGTTTTCCCACTTTACGGCGACTCCAGCCTCCACTGCCCAAGCGAAGCGAATCAAGAAAGAATCGCTCATTAATCTTGCCCTCACCCATTTAAATCCTCCGAGATGAGTATCACCCCGACGGAAGTGACACCGATACCAATCCGCGATAATCCCGCAGTAATAATTAGCAAAGCCAACCACCCCCACCGTATAATTCCCACCCTCCCTAATTATGCCCGATAGTTCTCCGATCTCTCCAACAATGTTAGCGACACAGCATCCACCGTGTGGGCAGTTTCCACATACATAGGAAACAGAGAGCCGTGGCTCCTCGTAACACGCGGATACGTCGACACCGGCTGATCTCCCTGGAGGTGGAGCCCAATGCTAATCGCAGTGCCAGTGTTAAGGATCGATAAGTCCAGCAGGCAATGATGTAACATTACACGGCAGAGTTTCCCAAATTCATGAATTCTTTCACCCAGTGCAGAAGAGGGTAAACTTGACACTTAAATTTCGTTTTATGAAGAATTTAATTAAACTCGTAATTGCAAAATTTTTAATTATATTTTGACGTGAGAACAACATACAGACTGAAATTCTGGGGGATTTTAACATTTAAAAAGCCAAAATTTTCATTTCTTTGACCCATTGGAGAAGAAGATAAAAATCACACCTAAATTTTGCGAATGTTTGAATATGGCAGGCGAACTGAGTCAACTCCCCTGGGAGAATAAGAACCGACTGAATATTCTAGTACATATCCGGAGAGGGTATCACTACTTCATTCTGTTCCGAGAATGGTTGCATAATGCCGTAGAATTACTGAGAAACTTCACATTTCCTCAACGATTCGACCTGATTATTCTCTATTCCGTGAAAAATATTGGACTATTCGTTGATAATTTCCACTGAAAACCTGAGAAATACAGAATTATTCAGAATTTCTGAGTGAAATTTAGAATGAAAACTGCTGAAAATTCAACGCATTCATTAAATGTCATATTTTCATTAAATATTGTTCTCAATTCTGGAGATTAATAGAATATTTACCGCAAAATTCGGTGATTTTACTTCGAAAAATGAAAACTAAATTTGAATATTTCAATGTTGATCTGTAATTTCTCAGAAAAATTGGAAAATTGTTACATTATGTCATGAAATTATGGGGAAAATTCATTTATTTTTCCAAACAATTCAACATAAATTCTGTAATAATTATTGATCATTTCCAGAGAAAACCTAAAACACCCAAGACTCGATTTGGATTTCAATAACCCCTGTTGCTATGAAGAATTATCAACAAAAATTTTAGAACATTAATTTCGATTCCAAATTCTTCAGGAAAACACAATAATTCATCTAGTCAATTTATAACCAACAATAAATAAAAAACAGTAAAAAACCATTCACCCATTAATCTGCAATTGATTCCAGTCCCAAAATTATCCCCTCACGTCGTGAAATTCCATGGAATAAATTTCCTATTCCTCGAACAATTTATCACGAATCCTCAATAATCCACAAAAAAATATTGCTCCAATGTTTCAAGAATCTCCAAATTTCAATGACAGAAATCACTGACGGTCACTTTTATTCTGACCACAGTCCATCACCAATAATAGATGATAAATTCCCAAAAATCGGTGAGCCATTCCCGAACAATCAAATGTTCTCTGTCTCTGTAATTAATCTCTAATTCAGTAGCGAAGTGGTAAAACGGTACAAGTCAATTTCGACTATTGACCAGTGTTCATTGAATACCTCAGAATCTAAGGGAGATACCAAAATTATTGTTAAAACCTTTTTTGTAGACCCTACTGAGTACTACAACAAATGTAATTACAAAAATTTCGCCATCTCCCTTAGATTCAGAAATATTCCTCAAAAACTCGACTGGGCGATAACTCGACTTAAACCATTTTACCATTTCGCTACTGAATTAATCCCGTTCCCAAGAACTGTTCCCCCAACCCCGAAAGATCAAAAATTCCACTGTACCTGTGAATTCGCTCCTCGTGTCAGCCGCCTCCGCTCCCGCCCCTCCCCGGCACTCCCCCCAAAATTCCCGAAAGCCACTGTACATATCCACAACGAGTCCGAAACCCCAAAAAACCCAGTGGCCCCCGACAAACTCCAGCCCCCCAGCCCCAATGAATCACCGTAAATATGCACTGCGTCCCCGGCTAGCGCTCTTTCCACCCTCCGCAGAGCACCTCATTAGTCCTCATCATCAATCACTGAAACCCTCTCCCTGAAAAAACCTCATCACCACCGTAAACTTAACTCTCAACCCGCCTTACCCACTCACAAACCGACCACGGGCCCGCGATTGTGGTCCCGCTAGCGTCTGGTAACGCGTCACGTGACCACCGCCTCACGAGTCCCAACACTGTGGCTCGTCTCTTCCTGCTCTGCTGATGTGTCTGTAATTTGCAGATGAGCACACTGGCTCCCCGGGTGATCATCGTTCTCCACTTCCTCGGCTCCGGCAATTTTTTTTCCCCCTAATGCCCTTCAATCAGAGCCGAATCCAGCTGTCACCCCCCCAAACTAATCATCGAGATGTGTTTCCCCGGACCGCGAGTCGATCGGCATTGCCAATTCTTCTTGAATCCTGATGGCTCTATTTAGAGGTTATACCAGGACTTCAGTCACTCGCGCAGGCTCAGCCTCGTTTTTCATTCTTCCTCCTTAATTCCTCGATTTCTCATGATCTCTGCATCCTCAGTCGTGACGATTCTCTCGAGTAACGCGTGCCTGGTGTCCTTCACCCTTCCGGTATCATCGATCCGAAAGACATCACCCCCTTGACTCCACGAAATACCGCCGATCCCCCTGTTTTTTTCTTTCCTCTCAGCTACTTAATTCTCCTGATCCCGAATGAATCGTCCGAGTCACGGGTTCAATTCTCCCCCTCACCCCAGTGACAACTCAATGCTCAATTTTTCTTTTGGATTGAAGGCCCAATCGTGTGCGTCTGGTCTCTGATTGATGCCCCACGAGCACTCGGTTTCTCGATTATTTCAGATATAAAATTCGAAGCACATCGGTCTTGCTGCCAAGTGAGAGGCTGCGAGAAGCCGATAGCGACGTTGGGCGGCTCGTTGCCGGCCTCACACTGGCTCCGACTACCACCGCACAGCCGCCGATTACGCGCCCCGCCTTGTCACTCGCCGAAATCATCCCTCCCTCTCCCTCTTTCGGGGATTTTTTTTTCTTTCGGGGATATACGAGAGCTCGAGGGTCCTGCGGGGACACTGCCAGCGCCTCCGAACGAGGTTTCAGTGAACCTTGTTCATCGGCGGTGGCTTTTCGGGAGGATGAGGATAGGAAACTGCCGGACTATTTCAAAAGCTTCGTCACTTGCGCGACATCGCCGTGCGCTCTTTAACTGGGAGGGTAATTAATAATTGTGGGGGGGAGGCATTGCGGAGTTGTGGGGATTATATTTTCTTGGGTCGCGGGGGGAGAGGCGTGGAAATTTACCTCAGGTTTTTTCGAGTTGGTAATGTGTGGGGGTTCATTCGTACTGACTTTGTTAATTTCTTGGGGGGCGATGGGAATTTAATGAAGGGGATGGACGAGAGAAGAGGATGAGTTTATTTTATTTGAGAAGAGAAGAGATCAGTTTTTTTATTTTTTTGACATTTCCGGCAATAACAACATTTTCGGGAAGTTTTCGAAATTTTAATGAATTTTTAATGAAGTTTTCATTAAAAATTCGGGCTGAATAGAATAGATTAATTTGAGTTTATTAATTTCTAAAAAAAATATTGTTGAAGTGATGGGAAATATTTGAAGTAGAAGCTTTATTCAATTTAAATTCAAAGGAATTGAAAACTGTCCTTATGAAATTGTCATGGGGGAAGAGTCGTAGAGGTGTTTACCTCAAGTTTTGTTTGTTGTTAATATGTGGGAGTTCATTCATGCTGGAATGCTTTATTTTTGTTCTTTGGGTGATGGGAATCAAATGAAGGGGATGGAACAGAACGGAACAGGATAAGTTCATTTTATTTTAGAAGAAAATAATTTTTTTTTATCTTAAAATTTGGGGGCAAAGCAACATTTTTGTTTTTTTTTAATGAGCGGAATGAGATCTTCAAAAAAATTCAAAACAATGTAAAAATAAAAAATCAACGATAAAAAAATCCATTCAAAATTGTGCTTATGAAATTGTTGGCATTGCCCTTCGATTTAAACATCGTGATCCCTAAAGAATGCATTCAATCACAAAAAAGTACACACTAAATCATTTGGCCACCATCTCTTTATTTCTGCTCTATCCACCTCCCTCCATAAACCTCTCGACTCATAAAACTTTCGTAAAGTACACATGTACATATATTCTCTCCCCCTCGAATCCCCTCATTAATGACGACTAATCACTTCAAAAAACGCCCACTGAACAAAAACCGCTCACTGAACAAAAAAAGCGCATTAAATTGTGCACATCCTGAAGCTCCGAAGCCAACAAAAATCACAACACAAAATCCAAATTACGAAAATAGAATTCAGACCCTGGAAGACTATTTAACGCATTTGTGTTTCATGTTCCATCCTCGACTGAAGCATTTCACTCGACAATAGCATCTCAGAGTATGTGACAATGACAATTGAAACACCCAGTCGGTGTGTATGTACGTGTGTGAGGATGAGTTGATTTCGTTGGACCCAGATTCAGCGAGTCCTCACTGCCCTCGCTCAGCTCCTCAATACTAAACGTATCCGTGAGATCTTGTTTGTGCTTTGAACTGTCCTTGCCACGTGAAATTGGAAATAATGTAGTTTCATCTTCACTGAAAAACAGTTTAATTTCATTATCCAACGGTGAATTACTGGGGTAATTGGGTTCAAAGTTTTCGAGTGGAGGGAAATTCCGTTGGATACCTTTCGCTGTCACTCCTCCAGTACTCGACCAGTGGATGATGCTCATTGCTCTTGTGCGGAATGGGCAGTCTTTGGATCGGTATTAATCCACTCGAATTGCTGGATACGATGCTGCTTTTATCGTTATTAGACAGCTTTATGTAGTCAGAGCTGCGCTGAATACGTTTCGCCTGCTCAATCCTCGCCTCTTTGGGTTATTAAAAAGTTTTGTTATGATTAGGGTCGGGTGGAGGGGGCTCTCAGGCACTTACCCAATTTTTTCTGCAATTGCTTCGTTGTCGATCTCGGCTGCGGCTGGGGCTGATTGCTGCTGCTGCTACTGTCACTGGTCTGGGTAATAATACAATCATCATTATGAAGAGGAAGTATTTTTTATCTTTCCAAACTACTGCATCAGGAGTGAAGGGGTAGAAGTGGATGGGATAATTTTTGATTGATTAGTCAACAGTTAGTTTTCATGAAGATTTTTATTATAACTGGGTGTTTACTGGAGTGGGCGCTTTCATGGGGTTTTTTGCTGCAAGTGCCATGTTGCTGTACAGATGTTTCAGTATTTGAACGAATTTCCAAATATTTTGGAAGAAAAAAACGAATTCCTGCGTAAAATGGACTTGTCGTGTTTTATCGCTTCACTAATTTAAGGATTTTTACTATCAAACATTTGTAATTGAGTAATTTTATTATTTACAGTTTAGAAGGAGTTTTTTTTCCATTTTGAATCGTTAGGAAATAATTGAAAAATCTAAAAAAATTAGAAATTCTATTTTTTGAGTAGGATTTCCAAAATAATTGAAAAATTCCAATTTCCAAAGGTCTTTTCGATGTTTTTTTCATGAATAGTTAATGAATAATGAATTTTCTAAAAATCTGTCTTTATTCCGAATTGAATCAGAGATCAAATTTATGCCAAAAATAAAATTTGATCATTGAAAATTAACCACAAATAAAATTCACGTCCCCCAAATGAATCATTAAACCCAAAATAATCCATTTCTGCTAATAAAATCCTGCAAAAATAAATATTTCTGACGATTAAAAATTCCGTAAAAACCCGATGCGATCCTCCCGAATCCGTAAAATACCCCCAAAATAATTCACCCAAAATTCCTCAGCACATTCCGCTATCAAAACAAACAAAGTCAAAGCCCAACAGAACTCACCAAAAAAAACCTCTCATCCTCCCCATGATTGACAGGTTTCGGATCGCTGTCGATTCCGCTGTCTTCCATACTGCCCCAGGATCCTCCCTCAAATCGCCTAAAACCCGATTCCTCAATTACCAAAAACCCCTCAGTCTCGAAAAACCGCACGACATCTGATCTGCCATACGGACAACTTGTTGAAGCCCTCGGATCAGCATCGCTCGCCCCCAGCGGACATCCTCCCCCTGCCTGAATCACTCCAGCCCCGAATGATCATAAAATTAACAGAACGAGAATGACAAACCGCCTCAAGCTTTGTTTATCCCCATATTCTTTACAAACTTGTCAACGCGGTCAAAGCACGACTGAGGGCACATGCACTCTCCCCACCGTGCGCTACAGTCATGTTATTGATTTTTCGCACCGAAGCACCAGAGTTCACTGGAATCGTGTGAACCCCCGCGCACTATTCTTTCTCCCCATCTTTTATTTCCAGTTCAATTAATCGACCGAATGTTTCATCCGAGTGGAGTGCAAACACGTAATTGGAAAATGTTTATCTCAACTTGTCTGAGTATATTTACACCTGTTCTACTGTATCCAAGGTAACAGTGGCATGTATCATGTAAATACCCAGGGAAAAACCGAAACATTGTCATCAATTCAGGAATTAAACGATAATTAAACAGCCGTTCACAGCTATCAGAATGCCACTTTGATATCAATTAATCGGAGCAAACTTCACTCGATCGTTCTGTGATTATGAAAATAAATTGTTATGTACTCGTGGCTGTTACTGCAGAACCCAACCACTCTGTTATCACCCAGGGTAACCAGTCAACTCGGGGACTCCTGATGCACTTGAAATACGACTCCAAATCAATTAAATAATTTTTTTTTATCGTCGTCAAACAAAATTATCAAGATGCCACAAACAGGGAAGAAGACGTCATCAAAGGCCTCAGAGTCTAGTAAAGACGTGAGTATCGACCGCTGCGGTTCTACTTTAACTACTGAGATTTTTTTATTCAACTTTTTTTCTTCTCAATTTAATAAATTTTATATTTTTTTCTTTATTTTTAGATTAATTATTGAGTGGACTGTTTTGCCCCAGCTGTTGTAACAATTGATTTTAATTGAAGTGTTTTATCTGTATTTTAATAACCACTGGGGCATGACAGTTTGTTAAATTTTAATTTGATTTTTTTTTCAACATTTTTTTAATCCAATAAATTGTTAATTTTTTTTTATTTATAAATTAATTATAGAATGACCTACGTGGCCCCAGCTTTTATCACAATCGACTTTAATGGATAAAGAGTTGTTCACCTGTATTTTAATAACGTCTGGAATATAACAGTGAATTGTTTGAATTTCAAATCAAATTTCTGAACAGAAAAATTATTCTGTCAATTTTGTCTTGATAATTTCATTTGCAATTCTAATCTTTATTTTTTATTGTAGCAAATAAATATCGAAAAGAGCAAAATATCCAGAATAGAATTGCTGAGAATTTTTTTTTCAATTTCGAAAAAATTTGATTTTTTATTCAATTTATACATCAATTATGTATTGACCCCTTTTCCTCCAATTCAAATCACTCAACAATTTTTTACCTGTTTTTACAAAATACCGGGGCATAACAGTTCATTTTTCAAATTAAAAATTAAATTTCCTACCAGAAAAATCACCCTATTCCTCCCTTAAAACCAAAAATTAAATTTTCTCGATGTAAATGTCCCCTCTTCCTTCCGTTCGCCAGCAAATAAGCATTGGAAGAAGCAGAACCTCGCGAATTGACTTGCTGGGTGGCGACATGGACTGGCTGCGAGGAAAAATATTCCTAAAACCGGAGGATCAGCTGCAGCTGAACGAAGCAGAGCTCCAAGAGGAGATAGTTCGTGTGTTAACAATGCAAGACACAAGGGTTCCCGACGCCCTAGTGGAGTGGTCGTGGAAGGAGATGGAGTTCGTGCGGATCCCCAACCCCCCGAACATCATCAGCGTGTTGGATGTACCGGGAACGCTGCTGAGCCGCGACTCCGAGGAAGCTAAAGCTCAATTGGGCAGTAGTTACCAAGCCCCTGAGGAGGTCGCAGCCGACGGGAAGCCGGAGGAAGAGGACGCCGAACCCAAGGAGGAGGAGGAGGACGAGGGGGAGGAGCCGGACGACGACGAGGAGGCCAAGCAGGACGGAGGGGGCGAGGCTGAGGCGGCAGTCGACGGAGACGAGCCCAAGAAACCGGTCAAAGTCCCGAATCAATTCAACTTCTGCGAACGAGGCGCCCTGACGTACATCAACCCCGTCCGGGACATGAGCACTCAGACCGTCCCTCCGCCGACGGCGTCCTTCAACTCGCACGTCTTCCAATGGACCATCTATGACGAGTACCAGGAGGATTACGCCGCCCAGCAGCTGGAGAAGGAGAAGGACAGGAAGTCCCAGGGGCCCGGACAGAGGAAGGACGAGGGGAAGAAGAGGGCGCAGGCGGAGGCGCTGGCTGTCAACCAGAAGATGCTGCAGGCCGCCAAGACTCTTGAGAGAATGGTCAATCAGAACATCTTCGACGAGATCGCGCAGGACTACAGGTACTGGAACGATCCCAGCGATGAGTTCAAGGATGGGGAGGGCTCCCTCCTGCCGTTGTGGAAGTTTCAATATGAGAAGACCAAGAAACACGATGTTACTAGCATGTGCTTCAATGCTAGGTACTACGATCTTTTTGCGGTCTCGTTTGGAACGTGTGAGTTAATGTTGATAAGAATTTTTGGTGAGGAAACGAAATTAATTGCTCGATTGTTCAATTGGGGATCTTTTTCTCAGTTTGCTTCGACTCTTCGCTGACGTCAGGAACTGTCTGCCTCTTCAGCCTGAAGAACCCATCGTACCCCGAGTGGATATGCGTCACTGAGTCCCCGGTTATGTGCCTGGACTTCAGCGTTTATCATCCACATCTTCTGGTTATTGGCTGCATGGATGGAACGGTGGCTGTTTATAATGTCATGCTTCCACCATCTGCTCCTCAGTACCGGAGCAATGATGTTACTCAGAAGCATGGGGGAATCGTAGGAGAAGTAAGAAGTATAATTCATTGTTTATTTCATTTTATTAAATTGAATAAGATTTATCGTTAACTGATTTTGTAATATTTTCAACTTAGTTTAATGTTATCATCATCGTTATTCTTGTTGTCTCTTTCTTCTATACAACCGATTGTGTTTTTACGGTTCTATTTCTCCCCTCGACTTGAATGAATTTGGAAAGGGACTTTTTCAATTGCATTTTCCGTCTTTCTCCATCATACCGTGTCGACATAACACAAAAAATCCAATGCTTAAATTTCATCGATTACAAAAGTTTCCATTCAGAAGGAAAAATAGCCAAAGTACTTGGATATCCTTGAAAATGGCTTGAAAGGTGAATAAATCTATCAATGAATCAGTAATAAAAGAACGAATGAACCGACGAACGGATGAGTTAATTAATCGAATTGATCATTTCTAGGTTCGATGGGCGCCAGACACGGAAGAAGGTAATTTAACCTTCTACAGCATCAGCATCGACGGGAAGATCAACCACTGGGTCCTGAACCAAAACGAGCTGGGGCTCACAACAGTGATGACCCTGTTCCTAGATCGTCCTCCAATCCCTGGGCCTGACGGCACACTGATCACCCTCAAGGGTTGTGGCACCTGCATCGCATTCCACCCGACGAAACCCGACATCTTCCTGGTGGGAACCGAAGAGGGGACCATCTACAAGTGCAATACGGCCTTCAGCAGCACCTACATGCTGACCTACAACGAGGCCCACAACATGCCGATCTACAGAATCGTCTTCAATAAATTCAACTCAGACATTTTCGCGAGCTGCTCCGGGGACTGGAGGATTAAAATCTGGGAGGATAACAGGATGGAGCCTCTGTTCATGTTCGACCTGGGGGTGCCGATAGGCGATGTACAGTGGGCACCTTACAGCTCCACGGTCCTGGCTTGTGTCTCAAACGATGGAAAGGTCACGGTTTTCGATCTCAATGTCAATAAGTATCGGCCCATCTGCAGTCAACCGGTCGTTAGTAAGAAGAGGAGCAAATTGACGAGGCTCTGCTTCAATAATGAACTGCCTTTCATCATCGTGGGGGACGATAAAGGGACTGTTAACACTTTGAAGCTGTCCCCGAACCTCAGGATCAAACCCAAACCGACTAAGAAGCAGATGCATCTGTCGCCGGCCGAGTTGGAGACCCTGAAGTTGGAGAAGCTGTTGAGTTTTGTCAGGGAACCCCCGGTTCTTGTTCCACCACCAGATGTCAGGACTGCGACTTAACGTGGAAGTTTTTGAAGATGGAATGAGGTTTCGCGAGTTGTTGCAGTTGCATTACAGACTGAATCCGTCCACGAAATTGTGCAGAATAACAAGTCGATTCAGTTGCTAGTTTGTTGATGACATAATCCAGTTGGAATTTTTAAAATTTAACATTGACGTTCATGAAAAATGTGATTTTATATAGAGAAAAAAGAGTAGAAATAGTCCAAACTTTTATTTGTATAAATCGACTTGAAATACGAAAAATTCAAGATTTTTTTAAACAATTCCCTCACATTGTTATTAACAAATGCAACTGTTCAGTTATTTTGCTGAAAATAATTGACATCGAAGTCGTTAGTTTGTGTGAATAATTAGCCAATGAACAGTACCCATGAATTTTTATTATTGAATAAAATTTACATACTTTATCGAGAGAAAATATTCCTAGACCCTGACGTATCTATACAGTTCCACTCAGTGACAAATTAAAATCGATTTTGATGAGTATACAATATAGATTTTCTTATTGCGTAATACCTAGACGTCCGATAGAAAAATTCATAATTTGTTCGCTGGTAAGTTGAGATAACGTTGGCACTATACATCGAAAAATTGGTTTTCGCTGGTATTATTGAAAATTGAGGGGCAACAATTACGGAGATAAACGAGCAGTTGAATTATTGGTAATTGATACTTGGGAACACCTGTGCGTTGATGATTCACAGGTTGAAACCATTTGTTGATCGTAATTGATTCTAGTTAATGTACAAAAATATTCCATAACGATTGGCCTCCATAAGAACATCTCTCACTTTAATATTTTGGAAAAAAATATTGAAATTTTTTAGAATTCGCCAATCATTTGAAAACAAACAATTGGGCTGTTAAAAAATTTCGGCGAAAACTGTTGGTAAACTTCGTGAAAATTCTAATCGGGAGAAAGTTCCATGGAAATTTCAAGGAATTTCTCCATCAAAAATTCGCAATTTGTAATTGAAAATAACAAATGAAAACTGTAATATCAATGAAAATTGATAAAAATCAGGAAAATTCTGTTTAAATACTCTTCGAATTTCAAATAATGGTTTTGTTTGAATGATTTAATTGAAAATTCGAGAAAATTGAACAATCCTCGTCTTCTTGACACTGAAGAGTTGGAAATTCCAATGAATTTCCTGTGAAGTTTCAATGTTTTTGTAAGAGTGAATTCTCGCACCGTTCATCGCGATTAAAAAAGTGTAAATAAATCATTAATTTCAGCGGAAAAATTATAAAACGTAATTAGAGTAGATTTCGACGTTCTTGTTGATTGTTTATTTATCCCTAAAGCATTTAAATTGAGACATTCCCAATACCAAGAGACCTTTCCTTTACCTTTTTCTCAAGAAAAATTCTCCACTATTCTCCTGAAATCTCGCGTCACCAAGATAATTCAACAATCAACCCGTCGAAAATGAACAAAATCAATTAAATATCTTCCCAGGTAATTCCGGATTCTCTACAACCCCTTTATAATACTTGATCTCCAGAAAATCTCTGATGTTATTCGGACTAGACACCAGCCTCCCCGCGAACTCAATATTGGACATTGGATGGAGGAACTGGTCCGGAAAGTCCCTGTTCTTCAGAAACCACGAGTCCCTAACCATCGTGCCATTCTTGACATAAAACGGCAGCAGATTGACGTGCAGTCTATTCGACTTCGAGTACTGGACTTTGAAGAACTCCCCCTCAGTAGCTTTCTCCCAGACGAACCCGTAGTTATCAGCGATGGGTTTGTTCCTCGCTTTGACCAGCCAGGGGCATCGACTGAGGTCATCCCGATTAACCCCTACCTCCACCTGGTAGTCCCAGGGGAGAATGTCCCCGTTCCGCATCGCCCCCAGAAGGGAACTCCCCTCTAACCAGTACCTGATCCCCGCCTTCTCCAGATTATCGAACACGTGGTGAGCGACTTTCCTCAGTCCCGCCAGACAGCAGGGCGGGGTGTAACGATTCTGGTAGAGGTACGAGGGCACTCCATTCACAATTGAGCCAAAGCAACGCTGAGTCTCCCTCGAGCATCCGTACCAGTCCACTGAACCGCTGGTTCTCGTCACTTTTTTTATGCCGAATCTCTCGAACATTGACCTCTCCCGTCGCTGGTGGAGCTGTTGCAGCTTCCACTGGGACTGCTGACTCCGGAAGAGGGGCTTTCCCTCGTTCAACTGGTGGTGCATCAGCTGAATCTGATTGCCAAAATTCAGGGAGTTTAATGACTTCAGGGAAATCCAACGAATTTTTTTTTAGACTTGCTGCAGTTAAAAATGAGAGCAATTGGGGTTTGATTGATTAATCGATGAATTAATTGATTAATTTGTTGATTAATCACTTTCAGTGTTATCAGTGCTGAATGTAAAGATTGAAGAACAAATTTATGGGGTGTACACTGAGAGAAAAAATTAGGTCTGACGAAAAATTATATGTTCCACTGGGGACATCTTTTGAGGTGTTGAATAAATTTATTTGTGGACTAAACGGAAAGTTTCCACTAGAACATGATAATTTGCGGAGTAGTAATTGTTCTCGTGAATAATTACAGTTGACTAAATATTAACAATTCAAGTAATATTGAATTTTCTTCTCTCAAATTGAGAAATTCCCTCAAGTTAATCTGTCCCACTCCGTCCAATATTCTCACGTGGAATCTATGCTGTATTCTTCATTTTTCAAAATAAGAAAATACGTATTCAATTTTTTTCATTAAAAAAACAATAAATATTGCGGATAATTACTTTTGTCTTTCTGCTTTTCATAAATAACTAGTTTTAGAAGTAAATGGAGAGGAATAAAAAGATACCCCTTGACAATTGCCCCTAAATGCACTTTTACTGTGAAATTTTCGTATCCAGTTACAAATGAAAAATTAATTAGCTACATTCTACCCATTCGCATATTCACCTTCAGACCAGTGACACTCGTCTGTATATAAAAACTCTCCGTGAACGGCAACATGAATGGATCCGATAGTTTCTTGAGCGCATTAACGTCAATCATGGTGGCGTGTCTCCCCATGACAGCGTCACACAGTTGTCCAGGTACTTTCGATAACCGCAAGCTCCATTCCCTTATTTTCAGAGTCAGTTCGAGACATGCGAGCTGATTCTTACCCACTGGTATCGCTACTGCACCAGTGCGAGAGGTCTTAGTGACAGCTTCCTGAGTGGAAAATAATTTGAAATGCATCTCGGAATTTCAATGTGTCACAATATTTTGATCACAACATTTATTCTTAAAAGATTGCATTTAAATCTGAGTGCAATTGAATTAAATCTTCTGTACTTTACTATATATTTATTGTTTATTCGACGCGCGAAGAAAATTCTATTGGATTTTTATTGAAGTTCTATTGAAGAATTCCGCAGCTTCACTACGCGTTTTTTTAGCAAAAAATTTCCAACAGAAACTGTTTTATAAAAAAAAATCAGTATTTCATTCTCCTATACAATTTTTTCTATTGAAACATTTTCTACAGGAATTTCTCGGCATGAATTTTTCAAAGTTGTCACGTAAATTATATTATTTCCTATTAATATTATATTATTTAATTTAATTATATTATTTTTACGTTCCTATTTACGTGACGAAAAAAATTTTACACAATTTGTAATATCTGGAGTTGCAAAAATAGTTTTATTGAAATTTTGATTTGTTTTTGTTCAATTAGATGATCAAAAACGCACCTGTAGCAAAGAGATACGTTTCACCGACTTATTTCCCCCAATTACCTCTTACCCTCATTATAAATTAATTGCTGACAACCCAATAATTTACCTGTACCACTTGTTTACTGGATATCCTCGCTGAATCCGGGAGAAAGAGTACGAATTTCGTGCGAACATAGTAGAGTGGATTTCTCTCATCAAACGACTTGTTAAACTCAGGCTGAAGATTAATCAGCCGTACGTTCTTGAATGTATCATTTGAAAAGTTGATTTCGAGTGGCGGGTAAGGCAGCTCATTACAAACAATGAGAATGGGCATGGCAGGAAAGGAATTGAGGACGGATTCAACCGTCGCCGCAACGTCATTCTCGAATGTCTCGAATTGTCTCACTACTATTGTAACAAGACGCGCTAATCGACGGTGAAGTCGTTGCGGAGTGTCGTGACTTGATGGGGCTGACGAGGTTGCCGGTCTCGACAAGTGTTGGGACGTAAATAGCCACCATATTTTGTGCCATATTATTATGTTACCGAGGAGAGCTAGCACCAACAATGTTCGCACGAACTTCACTCGCATTATTGTTCAGTCGATTGTTGACAGCATTTTAATTTGCGAGCTTTGGTGGGTGGACTTTAGGGGGATTTTGGAACTTCACTTTTGAAACAACAACCCTTCGTGGACCACCATCTTTCCTGGGTTTTCATGTTGACGGGGGTTGCGCATGCGTTTGCAGCTTCTCCAGGAGGAGGAAGAGAATAAGTAGACTTTCTGGTGAATTGGGGATTATTAAGAGATTTTTATTGTTACTAATTACCTGCAAATAAAATGACTAAATAAATGTTTCAATTTTTTGGGGAGAATTCTTTTGCTATTTATAAATGAAAAATTAAGAAAGCAAAATGTTCAATATATTCCCACGATGCAACATTACCCATATTTTTAAATACTGAATTATTTTATTCATGAGGATGTTTAAAAGAAAATATAGATATGCTTATGAATAAATTCTCTCAACATCACGTTTCATCTGGATGAATTGACAATCGACAAAAGACGAATGTTTGCAATTTTTTTCGTTAAATTCATCATTGTAATTATTTTCAGGCACTTGCTCAAGTGAATTGAGAAACGAAACCCTTGGAAAATGGTCAGACTGTTCCTTACTCTGTCCTTCGACTCATAAAAACTGCAGGACAATTGTTGACAACAACCATGAAACCGAAATCGAGGATTCCCACTATGTCCTCACCGAGTTATCACAAACAACTCGATCACACTGTTCGCTGCGTGATGATAAGTCCGATTCTCGTGTCAGTAATGACAGTTGTCTTCCATCAGCCACTGGGATTCGAAACTATTGTCTTCACAGAAATACCTCCAGCAACTGGCAGGACCTCAGGAGCAATTACCTAATCGATTTTAGTAATCGTAGTATTGATAGTTATTACTTGAGGAGGGAATTGCGGTTTGTTGTGGCCTGGTGTGGGGAGGGGGATGCTGGGGCCTGCGAGCATCTCTCGAATATTTGTGTTCTCACGTTGAAAGCAGAGAGTTTTCCCTGCCAACTGTTTTTGGGAGAGACTCCTCCTAGGAGATTGTTCTGGGCTATTGGAAATGCTAGAGGCATTTTGGAACGCAGGGGCATTCCTAATAAATTCAAATTGTCGAATAAAGATTCTGTGAGTCATTCATTATTTATTCAGTCAATTGATCGTTGAATTGACGAATTAATCGATCGATTGATTGAAAAAAAAATTGATCCATTTAGTTATTTGCGTTAATTTATGAAGAAATATTTTATAAATGTTTGTAGCAAAATATATTAAGGCTGTTGGGAATGCAAGGGTCGAGACAAATGGATAAAATAAAAATAAAATGAAAACTCCAGCATAATTAATTTTATTAAATATTGTCCAGCGAATGGCGAGAAGGAGTGTTTGATAAAAAAATTGTATTTTATACAAAAATCGATAGACAATCATTAGATCATCATTTTTGGTTAAGGCTTATATGGCTTCACAAGATTCTCCGAAAATTCTTTAACGTGATTGACACCTCGTACCTCTCTCTCCAGCAGTGGAAGTTTTGTGACATGGAAATCCTCGTATAAATCCGTAATCTGGAGAGAACATATCAATTACGAATGAATCACAATTACTCCCCCACCTCAATTAAAAATTCCCTCGTCTTACTCACCTGACTCAAATATTTTGCTTGAACTTTGTGCCTAGCCAGGCACAATCTACAAGGCACGTCGCCCTCGCCCAAGAACAACAGCTGATTGACAATAATATTGTGCGTATCAATGCCGCATTTCGTCAGCTCCTGCACAAGTCTCTCTGTCTCGTAGAGTGACAGAAATTCGGCTATACAAACGCAGACGAACGTCGTCTGCTCAGGATCTCTGAACTGCTCGTTGACTTGTCTTATGATCGCCAGCATCTCCTCGATCTTGTTTGAGAATGTGTCGACGTTGAAATCCGTCATACCGAGGAGTGAGCTTATTTGACTTATGAATGGGCTAATTTTCATTTTTAATCGCATCAGCTTGCCCAGGCCCTTCTCAACGACTTGGGGGAAGGATAGGAGCCTCAGTGTGTGACCTGTGGGGGCTGTATCGAAGACGACTACTGAGAAATTCATGCCTTTGACGAGTCTGCAATTCAATTTTTTGGGTTTAACATGAGTGAACTGTGAGTTTGCATTTTTTTGTAAATTTGAGGGGATTTTAATACTGAATTTTTGACATTTTTGTTCGTTAGCGTTTGTGACATTTTTTTGAAGATATTATAAATTGTTAGAAAGGTGTAAAAAGTGTATGAAAATAACGGAAAATGGAGAAATTTTCATGAGGATTTTTCTGGTCTTGAAATTCACTTGATGCCCTTTTGCTGATGTAATTAGTACTCACTTCATGACTTCGGCATAACTCATCGCTTCATCAATGCCAGGGAATGCACCTACGATCTCTTGCATAACATTGCGACTCAATCTCATCGCCTCTCCTCCAATGACTGCAATAAAATGTTAATCGAATATCTCAATGTTCAGTTCCTCAAGAAAAATTCACGAAAGGAGCAATTCAAGCAATTTTTGGGAATTAGAGTATTTCGTGAATTCTAGTGATAAAATGCAATAAGTTGAGCGAAAAATTAACAATTTCAATCAAGTTTCACGAAAATATTGCAAAATATCAATCAAATGTTTGGATAATCAGCCCCTTGGGAAAAATTCAAGAAAACATTCCAAAATTACCAAAATATTTTACATATTTCCCTAACTTTCTAAAAAATTATAGAATGTAAATTTCCAAGAATCCATAAAAGCTCTTCTATTTTTCAAATTTACAAGTTCAGTCAAATTTCTTGCATTTTTTGAAAAATGTTGGAATTGTTTCCAAAAAAAATCAGGAAATGAACAATTCAAGAAATTTTTGTAAATCTACAAAATTTCCAGCTCTAAAAAAATCTAAAATTACATAATTTCTGTGTATATCCCGCTCTTTCATGAATTCTCGTGTAAAAAAATACAATAAATGCAATAACAAATACAATAAATGCTGCAATTTTCATCCAAACCTCCCAATTTCTAGTACAATTATTTTATTCATCACTCGACTTCCGTTAAAAATTCCCCTGTTTAATTACTAAAACCCAAAGATAATTCCCAAAAGCCGTCTCTCCCCCAATCTCCAAAAATTCTCACCATGCTCATTCTCAAAATACTCCTCAGGCAGTTCCGTAATCCCGACATTGGGATCGATCTCCATAGCAAAAAGATTATCAAAACCCTTGACCTTAGTTGGCACTTTACTGAACTTCTGATCGAACGCATCTGAGATATTGTGGGCCGGATCTGTCGATATGATGAGGACATTCTCCCGCACTTTGGATAGTTGAACAGCCAGTGAGCAGCTGCAGAATTCAATGCCTCAATCAATTACCAAAAAATGTAAAAAAACGAAACAATCGCATCAAGGGCATGACGATGATGATGATTACCTGCAGGTTGTCTTCCCCACTCCCCCCTTGCCCCCCACAAAAATCCACCTGAGTGACTTCTGCTCAATGACATTTCTCACAGACGGTTCCAGCTGTTCAAGATCTTCCTCGACATTTCCACTCATGTTTGACATTGGCAAAAGAATTCTCTCATGAGACAACAGCAGACTCGAACTAATAAATAAGAGGTTTTTCACCTGGAGCCGCTCCACTCGGAAATGATGACAATAACAATGATTCTGGAGCAGCACCAATGATTCAACACAAACCCAGACTTACGTGGCTCAACACGACGTTCGTCAGAATAATCTAGAAATGGTACCGTTGGAGGGAGAATTGGGCTTCCGTCGAGCCCCAGGAGATGGCGAGAGTCGGCTGTTCCCCCGCGAATTTCGTTGCTATGACGACAGCACGCACAAGTACACAAACGATTTGTTATGAATGTCGTTAATAATAATGTGGGGTCATGGTGGGAAGCGGGTTGTAATTGTTGGGCTTATTTATTTTTGGGCCCTTGAGCAAGCCGTTGGCAACGATCCGCAGAGTCTGGACTCTTTTGTGATCCCGTTCACTGATCCCAGGGATTGCTCGCTGAGGAAGTGCTTCGATGCAACCAGCGGAGTTTGCAAATCACCTGGTATTGCTCTTTTGATCAATTAATCGGGTGGTGGAGTGGTGAGGCGTAACCGGAATAGATCGGGCGTTTTGCGTCTTACGAAATTGCGGATTATCTCGTTAATGAGCGGGTTTAGAAGAAAATATGAGAAAACGTTTTTTGTGGAGAATTTAATTCTCTACAAAAAAGATTTTATGGTATTTTCTGCTAGAACCACTAATTGACGAGATATCTGGAGAATTGAGAAAAAAAAATTTCAGTGTACTACATGCGACGTAACTTTACGCACATTTTATTCACGTGCAGGTTTAAAGGAAAATATAGATATGCGTATGAAGAAATTCTCTCAACATCACGTTTCATTTAGATGAATTGAGAATCGGCAAAAGACGAAAGTTTGCAATTTTTTTCGTTAAATTCATCATTGTAATTATTTTCAGGCACTTGCTCAAATGAATTGAGAAACGAAACCCTCGGAAAATGGTCAGACTGTTCCTTACTCTGTCCTTCGACTGATAAAAACTGCAGGACAATTGTTGACAACAACCATGAAACCGAAATCGAGGATTCCCACTATGTCCTCACCGAGTTATCACAAACAACTCGATCACACTGTTCGCTGCGTGATGATAAGTCCGATTCTCGTGTCAGTAATGACAGTTGTCTTCCATCAGCCACTGGGATTCGAAACTATTGTCTTCACAGAAATACCTCCAGCAACTGGCAGGACCTCAGGAGCAATTACCTAATCGATTTTAGTAATCGTAGTATTGATAGTTATTACTTGAGGAGGGAATTGCGGTTTGTTGTGGCCTGGTGTGGGGAGGGGGATGCTGGGGCCTGCGAGCATCTCTCGAATATTTGTGTTCTCACGTTGAAAGCAGAGAGTTTCCCCTGCCAACTGTTTTTGGGAGAGACTCCTCCTAGGAGATTGTTCTGGGCTGTTGGGAATGCTAAAGGCATTTTGGAACGCAGGGGAATTCCTAATAAATTCAAATTGTCGAATAAAGATTCTGTGAGTCATTCATTATTTATTCATTCAATTGATCGATGAATTGATGAATTAGCTAATCGATTGATTGAAAAACATAATTGCTTCATTCAGTTATTTGCGGTAATTCATGAAGAAATATTTTATGAATGATCGGTGATTATTTTCTTTGCAGCAAAACAACAGACTCAATTTTATTTTCGCCAAATACTCGCTGAGAGGTGCCTTCAGATCCTATTCCGACTGGATATCCCCCTGTTCATTCTTCAAAAACGTAAGATTCGGGATAAACGGGGACAAAATCTGCTGGACCTCAGCCAAGGAATTGATAGACCTCAGAACCACATTCTACGTGCCTTATCTCTCCTTCATTTCCAATGATAATAAGAATAAATATCTGTACCCATTGCCAGTATTAGTGAAGAACGAGACTCTGGACATGAAGGACACCTCCAAGTGGGTTCTGACGAGCAAATTTTTCATGGTAGACAAAGTCACCGGGGCCGGGGTGTCCGTGGCCGCGGATAATTTTTCCACAGTTCCAGAGATCGAGATCCTCCGTTACGTCAAGTCATTGACTATTCAAGTTCGAGCGCAGGAGAGGAAGGAGAGGGGAAAAATATTTCCCCCTTTGATTATTCTCGAATACGGAGAATTGACGCAGGATGATGTAGAGAAAAATGTGGAGATTCCTATCGAGTATAGGATTGTCTTCAAGTTGACTGAGAAGACGACCAATTTGTGGATTAAGGTGAAAACGAATGAAATTAGTGAATAGGAAATACTGAATCTTGCAATTAATTTTTTAATTTATAGTAAAATCCAACAAAATGTCTTTTGTTCAACCAAATATTCTGGGAAATATCAAGAATTGATATATTCGATAAGAAAAGTAAAAGAAAAAATTTTGCAGAATTAAATTTTCGAATAAATTTAATTTTGTCGAAATGAATATTCAACAAGATTTCAAAATTTAATCTCTTCCTGAAGAAACGTGAATAAAAAAAATGTATAGCATTAAATTAAATTAAAAAATGTCTTTTGTGCAGTTAAATATCAAGGCGTTGATCTATTCTAGAAGAAAATTCAGAAAATAATGTTTTGCAGAATGAAATTTCCAAAAAAGGTCTCTCAACACTTCAAAAATTCCCCAATGCTAATTAACGATAATGATTGACTCCTTCAGGTCGGAATGGGCGTGGCTTCAGGCCTCTCCCTGATCTACGCGATATTCTGCACGTTCAGCCACTACCGCAGGAACAACAACAGCGTTCCGATCCTGAAATCCCTGGGTTGGTTCTTAATCTACTACTGCGGAGCCTTCGGAACGGACCTGTTGATAATCTCCACATCCGTCTGCCTGTCCGCCTTCATCTTCTACAAGGGACAAACAGTCCTGCACATCCTTCTCCCAACCGAGAACACCGAAAAACTGATAAAGATCTGCGCAATAGCCGCATTCAGCTCGAAAACAATCGAAATAATCGCATTGGTATTCCAATTACGAAGCACCAACGTCTTCTTCATCGACTGGGAGACCCCCCGGTGCATAAATTCCCCAGCGAGCTACGACTCCCCTCACACGTCCCTGAAGAAATCCTACAACCAGAGATTCCGGAAGGACTCGGGGAACTCGCAGCGGCCGCCTTCTGAGGCAATTGCGTCTCGCAGGAACAAAACCCCATCGAAATCGAGTCAGGCTAGCACCCCGAGCCGACACTCAACAGGTCGAGACCTCGAGGCACTGGATCAATTTTCACCGAATTACATCGACGCCAATTTCTCTCTCGATGAACATGACATCAAACAAAACTCAACAGTCAGCATGTGGAGGACTTATGTTATTGCCAATGAGTGGATCAAGATGAAGACTAAACGAAAAATTAATTTGTCGCTTCATGTTTTTGGGACTTTATTCTTTCTTGAGGTAAAGTCAACGTAATTGACCAATCAATTCGATAATTGATCAATTATCCAATAATAATTGTTCAATGTAGATCAATTATTCGAGAGAGATCAATTAATTGATCTATATTGATTTATATTTATCAATTATCGAATTGATTGATCAATAAATTGAATTATGAAATCATTAATTAATTAAAAAATCTACTGATCTATTATGCTATTGATCAATTGAAGAATTAATTGATCTATTGCGTAATCGATAAATTAATTAACCAATTGATTTTGAAATTAATTGATTAATTACTGAATTTATGAATTGATTCATCAATAAAGTGAATGATAAGACTACTGATTGATTAAAAAATCGATTGATCAATTTTATTATTGATTAACAAATAAATTCATGAATCAATCAATTTAGAAATGCATCACTCAAGCCATTCAATTAGTCCACGTAATCCGCTTGAAGATCATAATCAACATTGAATGGAATGCAATCAATTGCATAAATCCAATGAAATAAAAAAAATCAAATTCAACGTAATTAAATCACTCATACAATTGAATTCAATTGAAACAATTAAAAATCCATTGATTAATCAATGCAGTCTTCATGCAATTAAATTCTCATCAATAGTTCATCCGAATGATTTCATCTTTAATTACAGGTCCTTGGATTGAAGAATTGGGCCCTAGCAATTCCCTCCCTAAAGCCCCCCCACGAGCAAATGGACTTCGTAAAAGAGAGTTTCACTCTTAAAATCGCAGTTGGAGCTTTAACATACCTCCTTCTGTACTCTCTACAACTATTGACGTCAGTATTATACACGAGATACTACAAAAACCGTCTCCACGGTTTTGTGGATTTGTGCTCAGTGGCCAACATCAGTATTTTCATTCTCACTCACGAGTACTACGGGTACTACATTCACGGAAGATCGGTCCATGGATTTGCCGACACGGATTTGCTCACTGTCATCAAGGATTTGAAACGAGAGGAGGATAATCTGTGCGCCCACAGGGGCCTCATCCCTGGGACAACCGACCAGACGTTCGTCCTGTGTGTGTCCAAGACATTTAAATCATTTTACGATTCTGTCGCCATGAGGGATCCGAATGAGAGAAAATTCTCACGAAAACACGCAGTGGGTCTGCCCAATTGGGAGGAGCGTTGGAAGACCCATTTGACGATTAAAAAATTCCTCGCAGGATTTTTGGATCACTGTTTCAAGAATGTCGAGTACACGATCAAGGAGAGACACTTAATGGAGAAACTCCTCGATACTGAGTTCATGGACAGCAGCAGGGACAAATCCATTTTTTATATCGATAAGAAATATTCGTTCGATCAGGCTATTTTTTATGGAAACGAATGGGCTTTGGCGACATTCGAAGCGTCAGTATTTGTATTGATTCTTGCATTCGGTGGTAGTTATGTATTTTCAGCAGTTACGACTATTTTTCTATCCTCAGTTATTGAATTGGCGGTTAAATTTGATATGAAGAAGAATCTGGCGAGTAAAACGTTGATTGATGAACGATTTCTCTTGTCGTAGGGTGAATAATAAAGTGTCAGGTGTTTACACGATATGGAGTTATGTAAATTCATTATTTAATCTCGTTGGAATTTAATGGAAACAGGTCGTGGCAGCCCCACTCGATAATCAAAAAAATTCTCTTAGGAATTCTTTTGGATCATTTTTTTAAGAATGTGAAATGAATGGGAATTTTGAAAGAATGGGATTATTTAAATTCATTATTTTATATGTCATCTCATTAGGATTTAATGGTCTTCAAGACAAATACATGTGGAAGACCCATTAAGAATTTATAATCAAAAAAGAAAATAAACCCATCGAAAATAAAAAAATTCGTTTATGAATTTTGGATCATTGTTTAAAAATGAGTACACGATCAAGGAGAGACACTTGACGGAGACACTCCTTGCTTCTGAGTTCATAGACAGCAGCAGGAACAAATCCATTTTTATATCAATAAGAAATATTCGTTCGATCAGGCTATTTTGTATGGAAACGAAAGGGCTTTGGCGACATTCGAAGCATCAGTATTTGTGTTAATTCTATCATTCAGTGGTAGTTATGTATTCTCAGTAGTTACTACTATTTTTCTATCCTCAATTATTGAATGATCTGTTGAATTGAATATGTGAAGAAATTGGATAATAAAGTGCCAGATATAAACACGAGTTATTAAATTTTCAACTTAATCATTCGATATTTTATTTCATTAGCACTTAACACCTATCAACTACACCACATCAATTCAGTTTAAAGGAAATGCTCCTAGTGACCTTTTCCATGCTCTCCGTGATCACCATGGTGGAGCCAGGGGTGGTAATCAATCCCCAGGTAATTCTCGACAGCAAGGGTGATGCCAAATGCTATTACACCAGTTGGAACTCCCCTGAACATCATCCAACCAAGTCGTGTCCACGGGGTGCCGAATTTCTTCTGATAACGCCAAACGTGATTCCTCGCCCAGGGATCCTTCAGTCCCACCTTGGCTAGCTTCTCCTGGAGCTTCACGAGTTCTGGTGCGTCCTCAATTTTGTAGATGTCTGCACTGGGGACCTTGTAGGGTGGCTCGTGATGATGACCGTGACCACCCATTATGAGTATTGTTTATTGTACTGGAAATAATTTAACAAAACGATGGAAAACGATTCGACTAATCATTCTAGCTCAGAATTTGTTTTGGAAAATGTCGAGATTTTTGGCTGAGGTTTTGTTGGAGGAAGATGAGAACTGAATAAATTGTCTCAATTTGACTCAAGAACTCAATTTGGGTACAGGGGCGGGTGGGGTAAAATGGCCACTTTACTTTTTTTTTAATATTCATAACTCAGAAATAGATTTATCAATTGAGTTCAGTCTAACCTCGTCGCAAAGGGGAAGAATTGTTCTTTCAATTGAAAAATAAAATTATTCCATTTCATGAATAATTCAACACGCCATTAATATTTCAAAAAAAAGTCAAAAGTGTCCATTTTACTCCACCCTCGACTAAATTAGATAGTGCGTTATTATCAATTAATCACTAAATTGATGATCATGATTGGCAATCAGAGTTCAATAATCTCAGGTAAATACTCCCAAGCATAACTCAAGAATCCTGGTACAAAACACCGAGCATTTGACACACAAAAACAATAGACCTGTCAAAAACTCCAAAATGTTCCCAAAACTCCAAACGGAGTGTTCAAAACCAAAGGAGTTATTCCACTCACTCTGTTCAATTATTCAAACTCCAATTATTTCAATTCAACAATCTTCCACAACTTAAAAAACAATATTATATAATTAATAACCTCTCGGCTCCTCCAGACTACATTCGCCAAACTGCAGAATAAGTAGAGTGAGGGCAACGTGGAGTAAAGAGAACTACTATATCGACGGGAATTTAGCGGTAGAATTCAAAGTGTGCGATGTTGGGCGTCGCGTGACTTTTTCCCTATGTGTCCTCATTTTTGTTTGTTTATTGTGTTGTTGTTTAGTTATTGTACATTGAATTTCGACAAATTTTCCGCGTACTTTAACACCGCCACAATGTTTTCTTAGCAGAATGACCAAGAGCACGATGAATGACACTTGTCTAACACACACAATGTTCCTCAGTCACAAAATGTAAATATCTCTCAAAAAATAACCATTTTCATATTTTACTGAAATTAATTATTATTTCAAATGATCGATTTTTCTGTTTTCTATATTTTTTTATAGACTATACTGTACTATACTATACTATACTATATTATATTTATATACTATACTATATTTTCTCATTGAAGCAATTGATTGAAATTAAAATATTTCAAGAAAATATTTTTCTTTACAATCCTAGATCTTCCAAATATATCATTATGCCGATTTGTGCTGGTGCGGCGCGGCGCATACGGCGCGAACAAGTGTTCATAACTTTTGCGCGACCAACGGAGTGTTAATTTACAAGTAGTTACATAATTAAAAATTCCATCAGTCACGGAACACTATCAATTTATAAATTTGGTCACGCTGACCCATTAAAAATTTGCAAATTTCGTAGAATAAATTATTTTCATCAGCGCGTGCAGTTCAATTGTTGAATAAATTTTTGCATATGCGCCAAAACTACTATGTGCGCCAAAACAAATCAGCGCCAAAGTGTATCGGCGCCAAAAAATCGGCGGCAAAAAGTAACGTACCGAATTTTCCAACCAGGAAACCTATGGACTTATATATTCTAGCCCTATATTGATTAAGGTTTAATGTTTTCAATGTTTTCTTAGCAGAGTGACCAAGAGCACGATGAATGAAACTTGATGTCTAACACACACAATGTTCGTCAGTCACAAAATGTAAATATCTTTCAAAAAATAAACATTTTCATATTTTACTGAAACGAATTATTATTTCAAATGATCGATTTTTTGTTTTCTATATTTTTTATATACTATACTTATACTACACTATATTATATTTATATACTATACTATATTTTCTCATTGAAGCAATTGATTGAAATTAAAATATTTCAAGAAAATATTTTTCTTTACAATCCTAGATCTTCCAAATATATCATTATGCCGATTTGTGCTGGTGCGGCGCGGCGCATACGGCGCGAACAAGTGTTCATAACTTTTGCGCGACCAACGGAGTGTTAATTTACAAGTAGTTACATAATTAAAAATTCCATCAGTCACGGAACACTATCAATTTATAAATTTGGTCACGCTGACCCATTAAAAATTTGCAAATTTCGTAGAATACATTTTTTTCATCAGCGCATGCAGTTCAATTGTTGAATAAATTTTTTCATATGCGCCAAAACTACTATGTGCGCCAAAACAAATCAGCGCCAAAGTGTATCGGCGCCAAAAAATCGGCGGCAAAAAGTAACGTACCGAATTTTCCAACCAGGAAACCTATAGACCTATATATTCTAGCCCTATTTGCTAGCGCAACCATTGTCAGAATCCAACGAATAAACCCGGTACCCATTTTACGTTATAAATTATATCCAATATGACTAGCAACAGCAATTGATCTCCATTCCCCTTGCCCTACACTTTAAATTCTTGATATTGCGCCTATCAAACATCCAAAGTTTCCCGGACTCGGCCCGAAACCAATCAGAATAACACCTGGAACTCCCTCTACCATCTCTGTTAGCAGCTACCCCGGACGTTCCCCTCGAGCGGTCATTTGGGAATCGACCTTGAGGACACCTCGTCGTTCTGCACCAATGGCATCCCCACATGGGCTTGGCTCCAGCAGAAAGCCCCTTCTAGGTACCGTGAAAACTCCTCATCCGGTTTTGAGAAACGATTTCTCGTTGTTTCATTCCCTCTCTTCACACGTCAGTCCTATCCACTGGAGTATGTGAGGTGCCACTGGAGGTGTCCACCCCCGAGACATTATCCTGGTTATCGAATTGGTGAGGAATTTTCAGGATTCAACGAACGATGAGAGACTCGTTGACACCAGCAATGCCCGGTCCTCGGTATTTCTCGCGGTAACGAATCAAGGACACACCATTGTACGACGAATTTACCAATAATCGAGGGACATTTCAACTGATTATCGAAGAGGAATTACTCCAAATATGGCAACAAGTGAGGAAGGTGTCACCGACCTGAGGGCTGAGATTGAGAGGCTCGGGAGGGAGTTGGATTTAGCGTCCACGGAGAAGATTCAGTCTGCCCAGTACGGACTTGCACTCCTCGAGGAGAAATCCTCCCTGGAGCAGAGGTGCAACGAGCTCGAGGCACTCTACGAGAATACCAGGCACGAACTCGACATAACGCAAGAGGTTAGTCGAAATTTTTACATTACGATTTTACGAGGGATTCACATCCTCTTGGGATGGCTCTGAGTAAATAAACAAGGGTATTTTTGGAGCAATTCCTGATGGGAGATTCTTGCTGAAGGATGGGGATTGCGCTCACTCGACGGTCTGGGAGGGTCGCTGCCATGTCTCGAGGGAATGTACGAGGTCTTAAATTTTTCGGGGTGTGATGGGGTCTTAATTCGGGGTGATTTGGATTTCAGGCGCTGGCGAAGTTTCAGACTACAACGAAATTGACGACTAAAAGTGGGATTGAACAGGAGGAGAGTCTGCTGTGTGAGAGTGCTGCTAGGGAAACGTCATTGCAGACGCAAATTATCGAGCTCGAGACTGAGATTAAACAGGTGAGTAAATAAGGAGTTGTTTGGGGGGAGAGGGAAGGAGATAAGCGGTTAGTATGGCCCCGAGGTGTAACATGGCCTGGGGAAAACCATAAGAATGAACAAAGAGATTGAGAATAATGTATCGAGAATGAGATGGATTCAAAATTATGAAAATAACGAAAGTTATAGACAGGCGAAGTTGTTTATAATAAATGGCCAATGATTTTATGATAACTGATAACGGAAAAAGTCTTATGCAATCTTTAATGTCTGGTGTTGTAAGAATAGCTCTGTTACGATTTTTATTTGGTTCTGCTCAAGTTGATCATTAATAGTGTCAGAACACTGATAGAAAGAATTAGTTATTGTTAGCGAATGGATTTGGTTGGAGAAGAGAGCCTATTCGGTCTCACCAAATGTTCATTCGTTAATAGTTAACAAATGCACATTTGAGGAGCCTTGTTTGACTCGATTCTCACCTTTCAAGTGAACCATTCGTTGACTATTAACGAATATTCATTTGGTCATATTCAATTCTACCATTCGTTAATAGTTAACGAATCTCAACGAGCGTTCCGTAATTTTTACCTGAATCGCCTGTGAAAAATTACGATACCGTCACCTGAATTTTGTGCATCGATTCCGCAATCGGTGAGCGAATTACGAGTTCCCTAATTTTTTCTGAACGTTTCTCCCCGTGTGGGAAACAATGAGACAACGTTCGAAAAATAATCCATCTGGCCCTTCAATTCGTAAATATCCCTCAACAGCTACGCCACGAGCTCGAGCGAGTGCAGGCGGAGCGCGACCATGCCCTCCAGGAGCGCGAGGACGTTGGCAAGGACCACCAGCAAGCCGAATCCGAGCGGAAGAATCTCCGCTCGGAGCTGCGAGAGTGTCGTTTCCGCGAGACACGTCTCCTCCAGGACTACTCCGAGCTCGAGGACGAGAACATATCCCTCCAGAAACAAGTGTCGACCCTTCGCTCGAGTCAAGTGGAGTTCGAGAGTGCCAAGCACGAAATAAGGAGATTAACCGAGGAGGTGGAGACACTGAACAGTCAGGTCGAGGAGCTCTCGAATCTCAAGACAATAGCTGAGAAGCAGATGGAGGAGGCCCTGGAGTCCCTCCAGGCGGAGCGCGAGGCCAAGTACGCGCTGAAGAAGGAACTCGACCAGAGGATGAACAGCGAGTCCATCTACAATCTCAGCAATCTCGCCCTTTCGATCAGAGGAATCACCGAGGACCAGACGATATGCAGTGACGGGGAGGACGACTCCCCAGCCCTGAGGCGCATAGAGGCGGATCTCAAGACCCAGGAGCCGGGGACCTCCGCTGCTGGAAAGCAAGTCGACCTGTTCTCGGAGATTCATCTGAATGAACTTAAGAAACTGGAGAAACAACTGGAGCTGGCGGAGTCTGAGAAGGCCCTGTTGACCCAGAATTTACGAGACAGTCAGCACGCGGTGGAGAAGAGCCAAGGGGAGCTGCAGGCTTTTGTTGCTAGGATTGTCCAGCTGTCTGCTCATGTGCAGTCACTTCAGCACTTGCACTCGAAGCTGCCGGAGAAGCAGACTGAGGAGACGGCGATGGATAAATTAACACAGGTGAGTTGTCGAGTTTAGGGTGGGATGATAACGATGAAATTGTTTTGTTGAGGAAAGTTTTCGAAAAAATTGAGATACTATACTAGTAATTTTTAGAAACGTGATATTTAATTTGATTTAGGGATTTTAGAAAATATCATGACATTTCAGAAAGACGAGAATGTCTTGAATTACGTGAATTTTCAATTTTCAATGAAAATTTTCAACGAAAATTTTATACTTCTATAAAAAGAATAATTCTTTTAATCCCCATAAGATCTCTATCAAAACAAAAAAACCATGAATTCCAACCAAAATGCATTTAATCAAAACAAACAATTTCTCTGGTCGAATAATTCGCTAAACTTTTCTTATTTTTACGGTTTTGTATGCAGGCTGTCATGCAATACCACCAATGGAGCACGATGTCAGCCCGAGAGGTAGAGCAGCTCCAGAAAGACCTCTCCGAGCTCGAGACAGGTCTGACAATCTCAGACACAACTCAACAGCTGCGAACAGAGCTCACAAACCTCCGAAACAAGGTAACATTGTCCAGGAAACCCTCCTCCATTATTAAAATTATCATTAATTCGATGTGAATAAACAAGAAGGTACTCCTGTGTCGGTGATAACACGGGTGAATGAGGAAAAAAAATACAATTATTAATTTAACAAGAATCCCGTGGTGTTGGTTAAAATGTCAAAAATCATGTTGAACAAGAAATTGTCGGGTTCCAGATACCACTGTCAGAGAAGAGCCTTCAGGAAAAGGTTGGAACGTGTGGCCCCCGTTTACGTATTTACCACCTACTTAATAATAACTTGACTCTATCTAATTTGACGTTTCCATTACTCTCTGCCTATCTAATGAATTCACGTTGCTTTATTTACGATGTTCTAACCAACGTACTAGGTATCGCTTCTTCATCTTAACAGAATACCGTTACAAGCCCATCATGCAAGAGTACTAAACACCCAAGAACATGAACATTCGAATTATTCGAGAGAATTTTGCTTAACGTGGCATGATACTCTCGAACCTATGAGGCTCGTTGCACGAACACTCGATTAGCCCACGAGTGTCACCAATTTTCCTTGCAGTTATGCTACACATTGCTCGTGAAGAAGAATTTGTGCAGTAGTGAGTTGGGAAGATGTAACAGAACTTGCAAAATAAGCCTTCAATTCTCTCACATTTTGTTAGGTGTCTCATTATCTTGAAGATGAGTGAATTTAGAGGAAAATCTCACAAAGATTTTTTGCTGGAAATTTAATTCTCTGCAAAAAAGATCTTTTGACATTTTCTCCTAAAATCACTCGTTTTAGAGATAAGGAAGCAATTGACAAAATTTTTAAACTCATTATTTTTAAAACTTGGTTGTAGCTATATTATTAAACATCAAATTATCTCGACAATGAATGGGTTTAAGAAAAAGCTTCATAGAACCTTTTTTGTTGGAAATTGAATTCTCCACAAAAAAGTTTTTTTGTCATTTTCGGCTAGAGTCGCTCATTTTCGAGATAAATGGATAAACATTTTTTAATTTCACAAGTCACATCTGTCTAAAAGTTGAGAATGGCCTCATAAATTCTCCAGTTCACTACTGCACCGAAAAAATCCATCAACAAAAAACCATCGTGCTTACGAGCATGTGTAACTCATCCAAAGAAACATCGAATGCGAAACCACTTTCCATTGTGCCCGCAACCCCATCAACCCCATCTCACCCCCATAATTCCCCGATTTCCAGCTGCTGGACACAGAGCACAAAAACACCCAGCTGGAGTCAGACGTCGGTATCGTCTCGAAACTGGCGGCAGAGGCGGGTGGTTGCCTGGACACAGCCCAGAACGACCTCCAGAATATTTCCGACGAGCTTGCTCAACTGTATCACCACGTGTGCGCTGTCAATGGTGAGACACCGTCCCGAGTGATTCTCGATCACGAGAAGATTGTTCCTATGAAGGAGGAGGAGTCCAGTGGTAGGATCGAGTGGTTGAGGACCCTCTCGAAGACTGGGCTGCCTATCAAGGACCTGGAGAGCCTCAGCAAGGCGAAGGAGATTGGAAAGCACATTGAGACTGTCATGGATCAGATTAAACATCTGAGCAATGCTGTGGAGCATACGATCGACATGTCCAAGTTGAAGGGAACACAGGGCACTGTGTCTGATGGTAATTATGGGACAATATTAATTATCAACTGTATGAAATAATTAAATGCAGCAACTAATCCCGAAGAAATAAAAGAAATTGAAGACTTCTAGAAAAAAAAAAAAATTTTATTGAGAGTTGACGACTTTAATTTAGGGGGACAGTATTGAAATTGTGGATTGGAGTAAAGCTTCAATGACATTTCAAATTCTTGAGGAGCAGAATTTTTTGTTTTCTATCAATTTTTAGGGAATAATTTAACTGAAATCTATAATTTCCACTGATTTTCCAGTTTCACTGAAATTTCAATGGAATAATCATATCATAAAAAATCCCAAGAAGTGTAAACATAAAATTGTATTGATTTCATTCATTTGCAGCTGGAAATGAGATCAAAGTAGAAGAATCAGAGCTTCGAGAGCAGGTGATTAAACTCAAGGCTCAGCTATCCACCAAGATGGAGCAGATAGCCACCCTTAGAACTGTCCTCAAGTCCAACAAGAACACAGCCGAGGTGGCCCTGAACAATCTCAAGAGCAAGTACGAGACTGAGAAGAGCATTGTCAGCGAGACAATCTCAAAGCTGAGGAACGAGTTGAGGAGATTGAAGGAGAATGCTGCTACATTCTCCAGTAAGTGCTCCACCAAACAAATTATGGCATATTGGGGCAAATGGACCATCTTCAATGATTAATAACTTCAAATTTTTTTTTCACAATTCATTCACAAGAGAATAATTAACAGAAGTTTCTCGATTATTCAAAGAAAATATATTTGAAAATAGTCCATTGTCCCGAAAAATCTTCGATACAAATTTTTAAGACTTTACAATCTGTTAGTAATTCCAATCTCTTTTTACCTCTTTTTCCTCCCCCATGTGCGACTAATGAAAAAATATTCATTAAAAAAATCATTGCACGCTGAAGTATTCATGTACATTGTCATATTAATATCAAGCTCAGCGACAATTGATTTAGCTGTTGCACTAGGTGTATGCAATCGCGAATGTCTCCTTAAGTGTTGACGAATCATTCAATAATAATTAATTGTCGATTAATTAGTGGCCATAACGAGCAACCGAACGTACAATTAGCAAGACTGACCTGGCTAGTGAGCCTAACTCAATGCCGCATTAATTCTATTCCTCTCATTTTTCCTCATCAATCGTGTCATTGTTTCATCGATTATTTTCATGCGCAGCACGTACCAGCTACATCCCAGTGTTATCCATCCACTTGGTAACGGTTTACAACTCCCAATAGTCCACGAATTCACTCTCGGCCCGCCCCCCCATTGGTGTTAACATCCACATAACTGTGAATTACCAACAGGTCTACGTGCAATGTTTGCCGCACGGTGTGAGGAGTACGTAACCCAGGTAGAGGAGCTCCAGCGTCAGTTGGCAGTTGCTGAGGAGGACAGGAAGACCTTGAATCATCTCCTGCGACTGGCAGTCCAGCAAAAACTGGGGCTCACCATGAAGCTGGAGGAATTGGAGGTAGATCGTGAATTGAGAAATTCCCGTAGACATGGGACTGGGGGTAACGGACGCGGTGGCAGGACTCGAATGCAACAGCAGTCAAACCGTCCTCACATGAGTAGAGACACATCTCATTTCTTCTAGAAAATATTCAAGATGTGGAGCAAAGTATTCTGAGTACATTCACTCAGAGGGGGGGAAAGAACGTAATTGAGATAGCAATTGGTGACAATTGATAATGACCTCGATCATCCCTTGAATTGCCTCTTGGAATTGACACATTCGGTAATGATCGATACCTAATTGTGCCAGAGATATTTTTGCAGAATACGACAGGATTCACTGGGCAATCTTTTTTTTTTCGAGGTATAACTTGTATACGTGGTCACTCGAGAGCTCCATATCGTGGAACAGGTATTATATATTTTTCCTTCGTTACCAGTATAATCTGTTCTACTGTTCAGAACAATTTCGTGAAACGAAATGTTTTTTCGTTTGTCTTGTTAAATAGGGAGAATTGGGGGGGATAGGAGAATGAAATGATGATGGAGAGCCACCATCGAGTGTATGGGGGGGAATGGTATTTGTGTTTAATCACTGGTAGTGACAATACTATTGTTGTAACGAAGAGATGAGAATTAAAATTCGTAGGTAATTCATAATCAATTTTAGATGTAGCAATGGAGGATTTTTTCCATGAAACGAGGGGGGGGGGGAATTTAGATACTTAGAGACTTTTTTATTCGTCATCCACTGGTTATAGGCTTCATCCCTCTGTCCATTCTGATGCTGGTAGATAACTTTGGTAAAAGAGAAAAATCAATAAATTCCGTCTAACTCGTTAATTTGGCAGCTAGTTGCAATCTATGATAAAAATGGTATTATTGATTTTTTTATATATATTTTATCGTCAATAATACATTCGTAGTATTATTTTATCATTTTACTAACTTAATGGATCAAGTATTTTATCTGTTCTTGATAGACTCGGCTATTATCATTCTTAAAGGTGGTCATATGAATTTTTGATGGAGCGAAAAAAAAAATCGCGAGGAGCTATTATCGAAATAAATTCCCTTTCAAAAAGCTCAATTGCGTACTGCATGACTCGTTATCACGATAGGCAAAATTAACATTAATAAGGCGAATGTTATTACTCTCACAACGTCCATTTTCCATTGCCCGGTGAGGCAGTGTAGAGCGAAGCTCGGGAATTAATTAAAAAAATCGTTATTAAAGTCCTATTAAATTTTATCTACAAAAAGAGAAAAAAAAACATCACTGAGTATTATCGTATGGAATGTTTGTGTGCTCACACCGTAATTGTAAATCTCGCTTCTGTTCAATTGTCGATTTATTGTTATAATATGAATTAACAATTGTGATTGATTTAATCGATGAGTGAACTATTATCAAATTCATTCTGATCAATTCTTTTGATAGATCAGAGAATTCTAAATTATATTTATACTGTGTACTGTTATCGCAAAACGACCGTGTCCACAAAACGCTGCTTATTACGTATATTTGAAATTGTATCTAGATCCGTCTCTCATGTCACTTGCATTTCGTCGTTTGTGAATATGTCCATTATGTTAATTCGTTGATTTAACGCCGTCCCTTTGTCAGCGTTTTGGTCGACAACATGGTCGAAAAGTTTATGCTTTATGTCCAAACAACCGAGCCAGCCTCAGACCACCGTCCCTATTCCCAATCCTTCCGCCACGTCGCTACGAGGTTTATGAGAGAATGAGAGTGAACGAATTAAGAGAAATGCGAAATTTGAAAAAGTAAAAGTGTGGTTTTCCCTTAACATCTCTTGATTTAATGGAGATGAAAATTTATTCATTGACTTTGTACTACGAAATTTTAATGGAAAAATTATTTGTTCCAGAGTCAAATTGACTCATCCTGTCTTTCCAGTTCATAACTGATTTTATTTCGCCGAATATCTCGACACCTGAAGCAGATGGGCCATTTTTTATTGATCGAAGGTGACCAAAATTCATGTTTCTTCCAAATATTTTTCAAACAGTTCAACTGTTTTAAACTTTGTTTCGTTACATAATGTTTCCAAAAGTGGAAAAAGGTCTTCACAAAAATATTCCTGTCCCCCTTCAATTCCAAGATATTTCAAAAAGAATGACAAATCCGAATTGATTGAACTATTTTCACAAATTCGTCAAAATATTCTCAAAAAAAGTGAACTGCTCGGAACTAAAATAATTTTCTTTAATAAAATTTCCAAAAATGAGAAAAAAGTCTCCACAAAAATATTTCTATTCGCCTTAAATCCCGAGACATTTCCAAAAAATTAATGCCAAATTCAAATGGATTGAACTATTCCCCCAATTTCACTACAGAATTCCCCCGTTCATCCCTTCGCACAAATAATTCCCGACTACCTGAGCCAATCTCCATAAATAAATTTCCAGCTTTTATTCACTCTGCACATCGGCCAGCCCGTCCGTAAAATAATAAACATCCAGTTGGCATTGAAAACGCGGGAAATCTGTCCACGAGAATACGTTCCTACGTCTCATTGCAGAAAAAAAAAAAACCTCGAGAGGATGAATAAAATGCACAAAGTTCCTTGGCACTTGTTGAACCATAAAATACAGACTCCACTGCGCATATCTCACGCGTGAATATAATCGCCGAATTTATTCACCACTTTGCCTTTGCACTCCTCAAACTTATAAATTTTCTATGGCATTTTTACTGTTAAAAATGTCGCAACGTGAAAGATTAAGATAATGAATATTTTTTGAATGTTGAAATGTTGGGTTTTGCCGCCAATAAACTGTCAATTGCGTCCCTGATGATTAGTATACCCTCGTAGCGACGTGCTGCGTTAATTTAGAAATTTATAAATGAAGATAGAGAAAACGACGTTAGGCATTATTGATGAGTAAGGGCAAACAAATAGTCTAGTGACTATTGAAAAAATTTATATGTATAAATAAATCATGGATATGTATATTAGGTTTGTAACTGTCATTGGTGATTGGAAGTGGATTAATTACTGGGATTTGACTAATGAAAATTGATCTTGGAGATGTTATTTATAACGTGACAATGAGTCAGGGGGTGAATCCAGCTGCACTTGAGGATCCATGCATTTTACATTTTCATTCGTCGAGAAATGTGGAGTACATTCTTGGAATTCTACACGTGTGCAGATGCTTTATCGGCCATTAATTATTCGCAATTCACTTCTCCATTGGATGGAATCGCGAGCTCCTCATCCAATTTATCAACTGTTTTAATGAAAATGAATGGATCTTGAAAATTGTACATAGTGTAAATGCACATATTTTTTGTTGTCCGGAGTTGTCATTGTTGATTAACTTGGGATATTTTCATGAGCGTCCAATATTCACTGTATCGTTGGGGGACGATGGAAAAAAACTATATTATATGAATATACAATATTTCGCCCATTAATAGAGATTCTTTTTGTAACATAAATTAATTAATTGATGAATATAACCATTTGTAACGGCACTGTCTGTTTATTTATTGATATACCTTTGAATTCACTCGTTTGAATAGTGCGTATTGAACAAAAGAATGAAGGGAGAACGGTTGACAACGGTTGATAAAGGCCTCTAGTTGTCACATTCAGTAATGATCGATACCTAATGGTGCCAGAGATATTTCTGCAGAATACGGCAGGATTCACTGAGCAATCATTTTTTTCGAGGTATAACTTGTATAAGTGGTCATTCGAGAGCTCCATATCGTGGAACAAATATATATTTTTCCTTCGTTACCAGTATAATCTGTTCTACTGTTCAGAACAATTTCGTGAAACGAAATGTTTTTTCGTTTGTCTTGTTAAATAGGGAGAATTGGGGGGGATAGGAGAATGAAATGATGATGGAGAGCCACCATCGAGTGTATGGGGGGGAATGGTATTTGTGTTTAATCACTGGTAGTGACAATACTATTGTTGTAACGAAGAGATGAGAATTAAAATTCGTAGGTAATTCATAATCAATTTTAGATGTAGGAATGGAGGATTTTTTCCATGAAACGAGGCGGGGAATTTAGATACTTGGAGACTTTTTTATTTGTCATACACTGGTTATAGGCTTCATCCCTCTGTCCATTCTGATGCCGGTAGATAACTTTGGTAAAAGAGAAGAATCAATAAATTCCGTCTAACTCGTTAATTCGGCAGCTAGTTGCCATCTATGATAAAAATGGTATTATTGATTTTTTAGTATATATTTTATCGTCAATAATAAATTCGCAGTATTATTTTATCATTTAACTGATTCAATGGATCAAGTATTTTATCTGTTCTAGATAGACTGCGCTATTATCATTCTTCAAGGTGTTCGTGTAAATTTCTTATGTAGCGAAAAAAAAATCGTGAGGAGCTATTATCGAAATAAATTCCCTTTCGAAAAGCCCAATTGCGTACCGCATTAGTAAAACGAATGTTATTACTCTCGTTATCACGAGTCGATTGAATTCCATTGTCCCAGCATCATCCTCTCTATTTATTCATATGCCTTTGAAATCCTAAGGTCATATCCCCCCAATTTATTCACACGTATCCCAGTTAAACTGCCACGAGCATTCCGATATATCGATCACTTGATAATACCACAAAGCCCCTCTTTCTCTCCCAATTCTTATAAACCTGAATTCATTCCACGCTCGAATACCCCCGGCCCGTGCTCTCGACTCAACCGACATTTTCAAATACCTGGCATTGACGTTAATAACTGGCCCACGTGTCACTCACTCAACCTAAACAACAACAAAAAAAAATAACGAACAATTGATTGACCAGTCGAGGGTCAATGAAACGTTTTGGTGCTGAAAGCTGAGTGAATTTAGAGGTGGGACAGTTTATTAACACTCACTGTACATTTCAATTACCGTGGGTGTTCAAGCGTGCGAAGGTAAATGGAACTCACGTGTTGGCTTTCCACTCTCGCATTTGATTTTCATTGAATGAAAAAGGAAAAATATTGGGGGAATTTATTTGCTGTTTTGGATATACATAAACTAGATCGACTCTTGCAAGTATTGATATTTATTAATTGATGGATTAATTAAATAATGGATTTTAATTAATCCATCAATTAATAAATAATAATTAAATAATGGATTAATTAAATAATGGATTTTAATTAATCCAATGGATTAATTAAAAATTGATTCCCAATGTGAGAATGGCGAGGAATAAACAAAAATATTTAGTTGTAATATGAAAAAAAAAATTCTGATATTCTCCCACATGTCAAAATAAATTTCAATATCTCCACTTGATAAAGCGTCAATACTCGACTATAACAATTCTCTCCAACACTAAATAATTAAAAATCAATGAACGAGATAATGAGATTTGTCGTTCGGAAAACTGTCTGCCATCGCCATATATCTGATTGGATTATGGTTCACCGATTGGCGAATTATTAACAACTGGAGGAACTTTATTTTTGATTTTGGATATAGATAGACTTTATCTACTCTTCTCATCTAGAATATTGATATTTATTTCTGGTTATCTAATTTTTTCAATTGACTCATCAAAAATTGGGTCAAAATATCAAAATGTTTGTAACCAAAAATATTTAATTGCCTTACGATTTTATATTCAATACATTTCAAGTAATATTCAACATTGAACATTCCCCAAGAAAAATATTTCTCTTATTCTTCCCCAAGTCGAAATAAATGTCAATACTCCACAACAATTATTCGAAATAATTGAAGATCAATGAACGAGATAATGAGATTTGTCGTTCGGAAAACTCTGCCATCGCCATATATCTAATTGGATTATGGTTCACCGATTGGCGAATTATTAACAACTGGAGGAACTTTATTTTTGATTTTGGATATAGATAGACTTTATCTACTCTTCTCATCTAGAATATTGATATTTATTTCTGGTTATCTAATTTTTTCAATTGACTCATCAAAAATTGGGTCAAAATATCAAAATGTTAGTAACCAAAAATATTTAATTGCCTTACGATTTTAGATTCAATACATTTCAAGTAATATTCAACACTGAACATTCCCCAAGAAAAATATTTCTCTTATTCTTCCCCAAGTCGAAATAAATGTCAATACTCCACAACAATTATTCGAAATAATTGAAGATCAATGAACGAGATAATGAGATTTGTCGTTCGGAAAACTCTGCCATCGCCATATATCTGATTGGATTATGGTTCACCGATTGGCGAATTATTAACAACTGGAGGAACTTTATTTTTGATTTTGGATATAGATAGACTTTATCTACTCTTCTCATCTAGAATATTGATATTTATTTCTGGTTATCTAATTTTTTCAATTGACTCATCAAAAATTGGGTCAAAATATCAAAATGTTAGTAACCAAAAATATTTAATTGCCTTACGATTTTATATTCAATACATTTCAAGTAATATTCAACATTGAACATTCCCCAAGAAAAATATTTCTCTTATTCTTCCCCAAGTCGAAATAAATGTCAATACTCCACAACAATTATTCGAAATAATTGAAGATCAATGAACGAGATAATGAGATTTGTCGTTCGGAAAACTCTGCCATCGCCATATATCTAATTGGATTATGGTTCACCGATTGGCGAATTATTAACAACTGGAGGAACTTTATTTTTGATTTTGGATATAGATAGACTTTATCTACTCTTCTCATCTAGAATATTGATATTTATTTCTGGTTATCTAATTTTTTCAATTGACTCATCAAAAATTGGGTCAAAATATCAAAATGTTAGTAACCAAAAATATTTAATTGCCTTACGATTTTATATTCAATACATTTCAAGTAATATTCAACATTGAACATTCCCCAAGAAAAATATTTCTCTTATTCTTCCCCAAGTCGAAATAAATGTCAATACTCCACAACAATTATTCGAAATAATTGAAGATCAATGAACGAGATAATGAGATTTGTCGTTCGGAAAACTCTGCCATCGCCGTATTTCTAATTGGATTATGGTTCACCGATTGGCGAATTATCAATGGCACTGCTGGCGGTTCGACCCCATCTCTTTATTCATAACACACACTTGAGGCTGTTGAGATTAATCGAGTTGTGCCCCACCGCCATTGACACCCTCGTTGTTTGACAATGGCAACGAAGTTTTACGAGAGTTTGAGCTCGAGGATAGTGAGACACGGGTAATGTAAGCGACCACGTACATTGTCTCAACAATCTGCTTATCTTACTGCACGTAAACTGTGATGAATTTAGAGGGGTATAACGACACTGCCAGAGACTAGATCATTCAGGTGGAGGGGGATGCCAGTGAGATAATCCTGGGGGATTCTCCTCGAGAGGATTAACGACGGATGGTTTTGGTGATTCCCTTTGGTATTTCTGGTGCAAGACAAACCCAACTGATCAATGTCACTCTGTGATGTGGTGAGCAACGTTGGCCTGGTTACGATAATGGCGGGTTCAATTGTGCTGGGGACTGTGCACTGAGAGAAAAACAAACAAGCCTTACAACAAAATCGCTAGTTGAAAATTTCCAAAAAAGAATTTGTTTGGTTCGAATGTGAAAGTCTCAAACATGAATAATTGTTCTGCTTTCGACAGCAACGAAATATTTGGCTCAAGAGGCGGATAATTCACACCAGACGGTGCCTTTTCAGGATGAAAATATCTCATAGAGAGGAAAATTTATCAACAAATATTTTATCCCCAAGTTACAAGATTGCTATCATATCATTATTATTGTTTTATTTAAGGGTTCATTTCTTGTCTGCGATTATTAGACAGCCGAAACGAAAAACTACTATCCCTTGTTTCGCATAAAACAAAGATTTTTGGGGAGTAAAATACGTATGGGAGTATCGAATAACGAAGGAGTAGTGCTAGAAATGACATTCCGTGTGTGTGAAATTAAAAAACAAATGGATAATCAAGGGAAACATAAAAATTGAGTTGTTACCGCTCAACACTGGGCTGCTGAATAAGTGATACAGTTGAGGGTTGACCATTGACATGTGACAAACTCGGGGACTGAAGGGGATTAAGTGTGTTATACGTGAGTTCATAATTTACTGGGTTTTACGTAGGTGTTGAGGGAAGTTCAGCAAGCATTGGGAAACCCTAAACCTGCTGTAAATAATTGAATTCCCATTCCCTTAATTCAGTTATTCGTCCCCTCATTTTCCTGAATATCCAATCATCTCGATCACGAGGAACCTCAGACAAAAATGTCAATGTAATGAATATTATTGCTAATTAAATTCTGCACGAAAAAAACTCTGCATTTCTAATTGAACGAATCTGGGTAAAATTGAATATAAAAAATAAAAGAAATTTCATAATAAAAAAAATTAAATCCCAGGTGAATTGGAATGAAAAAAAATGACAGAATTAAGTTGACCCGACAGAATAAATCGCTGAGAATCTCAAAATTCACCAATTTATTTGACTCCCCTCTTGATTAAATAAACAAAAGGGTCGGGGGGTGGAAAAACCCTCACCTAGACCAATCAATTCATGAAATT